TTTCCAAATAAGGTCACATTCATAGGTTCTAGGAGTTGGACATAGATGTTATTATATTTCTGGGGGGGCACCAACATTCAAAGAGCTTCAGGGACACACCATTGTCCCTTGTAGAGAAAGAGCTACTACGCAGGCTGAGAGAAGGGAACCCCGACCACATTGAAGTAAAATGCAAGCTGGGCAGAGAGTAAGGGTCCCCTGTGAGATGCAGGGCCACAGCAACTAAGACTCCGCCAGGCGCCGTGGCTCACACCCGTAATCCCAGCACCCTGGGAGGCCGAGGCAGGTGGATTGCCTGAGCTCAGGAGTTCGAGACCAGCCTGATCCAGAGTGAGACCCTGTCTCTAAAAATAGCAGGCACTGTGGGGGGGCACCTGTAGTCCCAGCTACTTGGGAGGCTGAGGCAAGAGTATCACTTGAGCCCGAGAGTTGGAGGTTGCTATGAACTGTGATGCCATGGCACTCTACTGAGGGCAACAAAATGGAGACTCTGTCTCAGAAAAAAGAAACGAAGACACATGTCTCAGCCAAGGTGTGAAACATGAGTTTCCAGGCCTGCTCTTCAATGATGAAAACAACCAGCATTACAGCGTCAAACACCAAGGGGCAAGATGTGCCCCCTTCTGCAAAGAACAAGGAGGTCATAAGGTTGGAGTGGGATGTCATTTTTCACTGTCTGCCTTCAAATTGGTACAAAGAGCAGAAGTCTGGGGCTGGCCCTCTGCTTAGCCAACCAGGGCACGAGGCCAGTCTGAGTCACTGTGCCCTCCGTGGTCAACCCCCGATAACAGTGCTTGCTCTGCTAATCACAGGGCAAGGGGCAAGGGGCAAGGAAGCTGATATCTGGGAAGCGTTTGTAAACTGGAAGGGCTACACACATGCAAAGTGTCATTCTACTTGTTTTAGCGAATAAACACTCTAGAAAAAAATCAGAAGATATTAGTCCTGATTCCTCTAGAAGTTTGCCCTGTGACTTTGAGCAAGCCACTTAAACTGAAGTTCGTAATGCCATCCAATGTAAGTACTGTCACAGAAAAGTACCCCCACGAAAGGTACAAAGTACTACCTACAGGTAAGGGCTACCACTGCTGTAGTTATTATCATTTCAGCCAAGTATTATAAAAGACATTCCACAATATATTTACGTCTTTTTATTGATAAAACATCTAACATATGCATTCATACTTACATTTTCCTTTAAAAGTTGATTAAATTTATCCTTAGAATTAATTATTATAATTTATTCAACAGAATGGTATTGCGCGCTGGGTGTCCGGAAGTGTTTTCAGTCATGGCAGAAAAGTAGTGAACAAAACAGGCACAATTCTTGCCCTAGTGGGGTGCATTAATGCTAGGGAGACAGAGTATTAGCCAATAAGTATTAGTAAAAAAGTAAAAAACCAATAATGTTAAATAATGATAAGGACTGAAGGAAAAAAACTCATGCTGCATCAAAGGGAGTTGCTGAGATTTTGGAAGGGGCAGCTAGATACCAAAGGTGACCGTTCTGCAAAGACCTGGCAGAAGTGAAGGATGGTGTCATTTGAAATCTAGGGAACAGCTTTCCTGGGAAAGGGAGGAACCTGCCTGGTACTGATACCCAGAGAGGAACAGGAACAGGAACACGAAGCGGGTGAACCAGGGAAGTGGAGGAGGCAGCTGGGGGCCTCTCTGGGCCTCTGAGCCTTCAGAGGGTTTTAGCGGAGGGACGACGGGCTGATAGATGTTTTAGCAGGATTCCTCTGGCTGCTAAGCTGAGAATAGACACGATGTTTTTAAGTCTAACAGATGAGTACTTGAAGTCGCAAGTCACACTGAAAAGTCATTTTTTAAATGTCAAATGCCTGTTTTTCCCCCTAAATTAGAGCAGGTGGTTCTTGCAGAGGAATAGTTCCATCGTTCCCTATAGAAACACCAAAGAATAGGATGAAAATAAAGAAACAAGCAGGTACTAAACTTGCTAAGTTTAGTCACAGGTTCTTTTTGCTGCCAAGAAACACATCTGTCCTGGCTTAGAGCAGGGGAGGGACTACCTTTGCCTCCCTCCCACTCTGAGAGTCCGGCTATTTCTGGGGCAGCTAATTGCCCCAGTGTGCTTGTCTTCTCCCCTGAGCTGGGCGGCTGTGGGGCCTTGGCAGGGCAGGTGGGACCCCAGAAAAGCCTGTGCTAACCTGTCTAGCCCCTGCTGCCCACTGTGACTTGGCGTCTTCCTCCCTGGCTCAGGTCCCAGGAAAGAAAACCAAGGGTTGCTGTTTGCTTGGGGTTAAACACGCCCTGAGATTCACCCACCACTGCAGCAGGGTCACGTGCATCTACAAACAGAAATGGGCTAGCTGAGCACAGTAAGAATCATACAAACAAAACAGAGGCCATAAAGAGAAGGGCGGATACTGCAACACAGATGGGCCTTGGGAGCGGCACACTCGGGAAGGAGCCTCATAAAGGAAGGGGATGGGGGATGACGGGGCCTCACCAACAGGGACAGGTTTCTGTCTGAGGTGACAAAATGTTCTAAAATGGACTGGGGTAATGGTTGCAGTTATTGATGCATATTCAAAAAGCCATTCAACCTGATACCTCAACAGGTTGCTATGGTCTGAATGCCTGTGTCACCAACCCCACACGGGGGTCTCGGCCTAGGCCTAATTGTTCACCCATTCCTGAGACCAGGAGGACTGCCGAGGAAGAAAGGCAGTTTATCACAGATGAAGCCACCCGAGGGATGAGAAAACTGCCTCCAATCCATCTCCTGCGCTAACCGGGGTTAGGTGTCAGGAAGTGTTCTCAGCCATTGCAGAAAAGTACTGAACAAATCAGACACAATTCTTGCCCTGGTGGGGTGAATTCATTCTGGGGAAACAGAGTATTGGCAAGTATCAGTATTAGTAAAAAAAGTAAAGAATGTTAAATAATCATAAGGGATGTGGCTATGTGTCCCAGGGCGGGTAGTGTTGAAAGTAACACACACAGAAAATCCAATTCAGAAGTTATAGGTTGGCCATGGGTGGTGAGTCTGTTGAGTGCTGTTATCCTGGCAAGAGTCTGGGAGACAACTCAGAAGCTAACAGGTTTAGTTAAACAGAAAGATGATAATGTTCTGGTCTGGGAATCCACAGCTGAAGAAAACTGCAGGGAAAACATGTGCAGGGTTTTAATTTCGTGTTTTTTCATGGAACTGATTATACTTGTGTCCCCCCCAAATTCAAGTGCTAAAACCTAACCCCCCAAGATGATGGTACTAAACAGTGGGGCCTTTGGAAGGTGACTAGGATGTGAGGGTGGAGCCCCCCAGACGGGGTTTAGGGGTTAGTGCCCTTATGAAAGAGGCCTGAGGGACCCCTTTGTCTGCCTCATGAGGACACAGTAAAGAAACAGAAAGACTTTACCAGACACCACATCAGTTGATGCCTTGACATTGGACTTCCCAGCCTCCAGAACTGTGAGAAACGAATCTATATTTATAAATCACACAGTCTAAGGTGGAGGAGTGAACTAAGCCCAGGGTCAATTTTATGGGATGTGAGGTATATCTCAATAAAAGTGTTTGTATACCATGTTTCCCCCAAAATAAGACACTGTCCTATATTTATTTTTTTCTCAAGAAGACATACTAGGGCTTATTTTCAGGGGATGTCTTATTTTTAGTAAGTATAATACAACAATCTACATTTATTCAAATACAGTTAAGTCATCTTCACCTGATAGAGGGAACCGACCTTGTTGGTGGGGCTGGTGCTAGCAATGCGTGAACTCCTTTCCCCTGGCCGTTCACACGTGTGCAGTAGGATGCCTGCTACGGTGGTTACCACATGCACCCGCGCAAGTGCAAACAGCTTGGAGAAAGGAACTGTGGCAGATAAAAGGTGTTCCATGCCCTTCATTTCATTACCGCTCCATGCCATTCATTTCAGATATGCTGCATAGCCACGCCCATCACTAGGTCTTATCAGGGTAGGGCTTCTATTTAACAAATGCATAGAAATCCTGCTAGGCTTACTTATAGGATAGGTCTTATTTTCGGGGAAACAGGGTACATGTGTGCATTGCACATCTACACATAAACACACAAACACAATGTGGTGACACTGAGATGGAATGAGTCTCAGACGGAGGCCCACTCTACCTTCTAAGCAAGGGGCTGAGAACTCACAGTTGGCAATATCCCAAGTACACAGTTTGTGAAGCCCAGTGCAAAATGAAAATGGGCCTCTTGTTCATAAGTTATGAATTCCAAGATGGCAACTGTACAGAATTAAATCCAGCATTTATGCTCTGAGCAGTGTTTCTTTGCTAGGAAAACTGTAGCATCTCCTGTGGCAGTCTGTGAGAATCTTCCAGAAGATGAGGGCTGGTGGCCCTCAGCTTGAGAGATAAGAGAGAGAAGCTGGTTCTCTTCCCACTCCACAATCTGCTCTAGATAGGCATGTCCAAGGGGGTAACATTCAGCATTTATTGGTAGAGAGAGTCCCATCACGGAGCATAGCTCATGTGGCCAGGGCACTTGACATCACAGCTACAGACAAGATAAACTGACATCGCAGCCAGTCTGAAACAGACACAGACTGACTCCAAATGTGACGATGTGGGAGTACAGTTTTGTAGCAATTGGAAAGCCGACCCTGGAGGGCTTACAGGTGGCAGGTGTGTTTGCTACATGAAGGGGGAATTGAGGTCACTTACATATTCCGACGTATGGATGATTTATCTGCATCCCTACTTAGGTCTGTTACATTTTTTAGCCTACCGCTTTAATCTAGATTTCATTTTGTCCCCAAATGTGGCATGTGAGTTAACCTTACTTAATCATTTGCTAGACTGACTGGCACAATAATGACTAACTCTTAGTTTGTTCAAAGATTAGTGGTTCTGTTTTCCAGTTGGCAACATAATAGTCAAGCCTCTGAGCATGCTTCAGTTCAGTGCATACTGTGGGAATTATTTTATGATTCAGAAAAAACACACCACTACAGAATCATATATCTGGACAGGTCTGACTCAGTCAGACACATTTATTTAGGGATTATCAATTTCACAGAATACAACAGGTCCCTATTACTATTTGGTTGTTCAGACTTGCCCAAGGCACATCACCATAGAGTTTAATATCATGGTGGATTTTCAAGGTGGTTTATACATATCCTCTGAAAGTATTGCCTTATAAGGGAAAATGACCATGTCAGGGTGGCCATGTGGTAGACGTGGGGGCAGGTGGCCTGGACTGTCGTCTCAGCCTTACCGGGAAATAGCGGCGTGACTGAGGGCAAGGAGTTTATCCACCATGGGCCTCAGCTTTCTTATTATAAAAAAAAAAAAAACTTGGTCTTAATTAGCAACTTTCTAAAATGGTTTCCAGCTTTAAAATTCAGTGTCTCATTCCTGGGTTCTTACCACCGAACGCAAGAAAATTATAGTCAAAAAACCATGGCTCCAACTGACAGCATTGGTCTTGACCTCATTCCTCATTGTGAACCATACCCTTGCTTAGAATGTAGGGCAGGCATTGACCAAAGATGACCGGCAGGGAATGCAGGAGGGAGCTTGCTCAGGGTCAGGAGATCTGCTGTGACTTAATTACATGCCAGCATTGTTCTAAGTACTTAGAAACTGACTGAGACCCAGGGGGCTTACAGGTGGCTGTTGGGAAGGTGGGGCTGGGGTTAGGCCCCAGGCAGTCTGGCCCTGTGGGCTGCCCTTCAGAGGTTAAGATAGCAGGCTTGATCTAGTTATCACGTCTTCATACCCACAAGGAACTCCAGGGGCCAAGGAGGCTGCCAAAGAGCAGAAGAAATTATAAAAGAACATTAAGAGAAGTTGTTGACCCTCAGGAGACTATCACATTTGCTATTGCAGGAATCATAAAGAAGGGACGGACTCCACACTACCTGGTCTTGCACAGCTGGGGACCCTGAGGACTGGCAGCTCCATGGCTCCTGTCTGTGGGGAATTGCTGATACCCATGCCAGCCTGCAAAAGAGCAAGACGGATTGGACCTGGAAGTAGGGGGAGGTGGGAGTTATAAAGCTTGACCTTATCAATCCTGTGACACGTATCAGTGAAACAGCCGCCCCTGCCAGACACCCATGGATGGTCAGCCTGGTAAACCCAGGCACCAGCCTATCAAGAATTAAGCGATTTCTATCTCTAAGTGCATTCCTTTCCTCTTCTGCTCCCCACACGAAGAATTTCCAAACTGCCACTGAGTGTGTGACCTTTTTTTTTTGCCTTGAGACAGAAACTCATTCTGTCACCCTGGGCAGAGTGCCCTGGTGTCAGCCTAGCTCATAGCAACCTCAAATTCCTGGGCTCAGGCAATCTTCCAGCCTCAACCTCCTGAGTAGCTGGGACTACAGATGCCCACCACAACTCCAGTTATTATTATTTTTTTCTACTTTTAGCAGAGACAGGGTCTTCCTCTTGCTCAGGCTGGTCTTGAACTCCTTGACCTCAAGCAATTCTTTTGCTCAGCCTCCCAGAGCGTTAGAATTACAGGCGTTAGCACCACACCTGGTCTCTGTGTGTGATTCTTTTACAGTACAGTGTTCTTCCCTTTTACTTCAAGGGCAGGGTACAAGTTCTATTCATCTCTGTCCTCTGAGCACATGTTTGCTAAATGAGTAAATGATACACCTCAGAGCAAATGACGTCTATTTAACTTGCAATTGGAAACCACCACAAACTGTATGTCAAGTATTGATTTGGATTTCAAAGTAAATACAGACATGTTTTTGTGTGCTTTTTTTTAAAGGACGACTTGGGTAAGCTAATCATTTTTTATAATTATGTCTGGATTTTACGTGACTCTTTATCTGCATTTGGCCCTGCAGTTTATCTTTATAACACCTAATTCTACTCTCATGTCCCTTGTCCCCTCCTTTTCTGTGTTTCTCTTGCTTTAAGTAAGGCGTTACAACTGCTTTTAAGCTCAGTCTGCCAGGGTGCATCTTATCACCCTATCCGTGTACCTTCTGACTTTCAATTTCCTTCTAACACCTTGGACTTTTGATCTTGAAGCACAAGGGCTATGCTTTTATTAGGTTTAATTTACTGGAAAGCTCAGTGTTCCCTGTGAATCGTGCCATAATAGTCAATGAATGATCACAGGCTTCAGCCAGCCTGTGCTTTAATTCTGCTGAGTAACTAGGAAATCAGCTAATAACAGGGGAGGAAAATGTAAGAAACTGGACCCAGAACCAGGATAAGCCCTTTTATCATGAAGCCTGCAACTGCTCAAACGCAGAGATGGGTTGACCACAGAACAGAACTTGGAACAGGAGGCTGCACGGGTGCACTTAGGCCTCCTTGGAAGAGGAAAGGGGACTGAATGTGAGTCCAGGCTCACAGCTGACCAGGGCACACAGGCCCAGCTTCCTCTCTGGAGGCCCCTAGCTCTCGGCTCTGCCATGTGGACTTCCGGCCATAATCATTACCCATATTTTTTCAAGTATATGATAGTTTTTTTCAAAGACCTGTCCATAAAAATGCTCCCAGAGGGGAGCTCAGAAAACAAACCGAATAGGTACGTCACTTTGAGCCCCTCTCTACCATGTGACTCAACATTCTGATAAATTCTTTACGGATCTGTTCTGTGTCTAAGAACTGGCTTAATGACACAGGTTCCATGATCACCCCTTATTCTGTAGAGGAGACCCAAGGTGAGGGGTCAGAGGAAGTCTCCCTAATTAGGAACAGGTTGTCTCCAATTCCTGTTCTTATTTTGACATCTTGTAGCTCTCAGATGTTAGACACTGCCCAGCATAAGCAAAGAGCCTGATCCCAGCCTCCAGCCTTTGTCACCTGTATGGAGAAAAGCTGTCTGGACTTAGGGAGCCCCTCAGTGACTCCACGGACTCCAGCTCTGAGCTCCAGCAGGCAGGAGAGCCAGTCCTCTGGCACAAGGCAGTGCTGCTCTGGGCAACTGAGCTTCGGGGAACGGCGGTCTGCACCAAGCTTCTCAGATTAGCAAGGGCTGTGCGAACAGTGGGAGAGAAAAAGACCCTGTATTAGCTGAAACTGCAGCCCAGATGAGTCAGGATTTTCTCTGATGGTTAAAAAAAAGAAAAGTAACATATTCTTCATGTCTCCATGGTAACTTAGGATCTGTATTCCATTTATGGAACTCCTTCCTGACCTGTGTTCTCTGATTCCAGCCTGAAAATACACGGAGAAGCAGTCCAAATTAATTCAATCTCCAAGGAATATCCATTCCCCAGCGCCCAGTTGTTTCAACAGTTAGATGCTGCCTCTGACTTGGGCAACTGTGATACCCAGAGACTTTCAGCCACCCAGAAACATTAAGACGAAACGGTATCTCAATTTTCCGGATAACCAGATTCCGAGTTGCCATGGAGACAGGGACCCTGAATAACAGAGATGCTGGGCCACTTCCGGTATTGCAGTACTTGATCATCCAGTTTCAATCCCACGGCCTCGCCTAAGCTGGGCTCTCCGATTTCTTACACATGTTTAGGAATCTAAACTTCCCTGCAAAACATTAAGCATCTGATCAGAGTCTAAACAGAAAATGCACACGTTTCTAGCCATGGACTCAAGTGCCTTCTGATAAAAATGGAAACCACAGGTGGTGGTTGGGGAGTCAGATACTCTCGGGCTTCAACCCTGAATTTCCCAATTAGGCGACCTGGCAGGTTGTTTCTCGAGAGGCTCAGCCCCTTTCTACACGAGGCGGGAGCAGTAACGCCTTAGCGAAGCACAGCGTCCGCCGGTGCTCGGCCCGGGCTGGCTGCCGCGGGGCCCGGCTCGGCTGTAGGGGGCGCCCCTCCCCCGGAGGCTGCGGCCACCCGGCTTTCCGGGGGCGGGCAGCTCAGCGCCGCGGCCCAGCCAGCCGCCCCGCCGGCACTTCTACAACTTCATTTGGGGTCATCGTGATAGAACCATCAGAAACCCGATGTCCATTTGGGAGGTTGTCCAAGAACCGGACCCGGTGGACCCAGGCGGCCTCACGCCTCAGGACCCTCGGAGTCCTGGTGCCGCCGGCTCCCCGCGCCGCGCCGCGCCGCGGACACGCTTCCCGCCCGACCTCCAGGCATGCGCTCGCCTGCTCGCGGGGTGAGGCGCTGAGGCCCGGGGTGCACGGAGCGGCAGGCGAGGGACCGAGCCAGGGGACAGAGACAGGGAACCGAACCTGCGGGCCGCCGCGGAGGGCCGAGCCGGAAGAAGCCGACTCCGCCCCTCGCCCCGCCCTCTCCCCTCCCCTCGCGCCGCCCTCCCCCTCCCCTCGCGCCGCCTTGCCCCTCCTCCGCTCGCTCCGCCCCGCCCCCGGCCTCGCTCCCCTCCTCCCCCGCCTCCCTCCTCCCCCCACTCCTGAAGAGCTCGCCGCGAGGGGGCCGGGCCGGTTACTTCCTCCGGCGGCTGACGAGCGCGGTGAGCCCGGCCCCGAGAGCCCGCGTCCGGCCTCCCCGAGCGCCCCCGGCCCGCCCCGCCGCCCCGCCGCGCTCTCCCTCGCCCGGTGCGCATCGAGGAGCCACGAGTCCCGAGCAGCCGCCGCCCGCGCCCTGCGCCGGCCCTACCCGCAGCGGTAAGAGCGGGGCCCTGGAGAGCTCCTAGGCGCGCGGCTGCGTCCCGGGGAGGGGCACCCAGAGCGAGGGGAGGCCGCGGGGTCGCCGACGTCCAGACCCCGGCCTACGGCGCGGATCCGGATGGGGGTGGCGGCCGCCCGGGGACGCCAGGGTCGCGTGTCGGAGTTCCGCTCCGGCCGGTGTTCCGGTTACCGAGTGGCCCCGAGAGTGGGGGAGTCGGCCGAGGCAGCGCGCTCTGATCGCTGTCCCCCGGGTTGGCGAGCGGCAGGCGCGGGCGGAGCGCGCTGGCTTGTTTCTCTTGCTTTTGTTTTTAAAAAGAGACGTGGGCCTGATCGGGGTGGGTTTCTGCCCGGTGAGCGCTCCAGGGACCTGATTCCTTGAAGGGGGCTGGGGACACCGGATAGAGTGTCGGAATTGGCCGGGCTCGGGGGGTGACTTGCAGGAGCGGCGTGGGGCCCGGGAGGATCTGGGCTCCAGGCGCCTGAAACACCTGGAGGCTGAGGCTCTGCGGAAACCTGCCGGGAGTGGGGTCTCGCGGTCACCTGTTAGGCCACGTCCTGTACCAGGGCCAGGAGCCCCTGAGTCTGTCCAGGGCAGCGGAGGGAACCTATCGGAAATGGGAACCTCTGTGCTGCGTTGCCTTTATTTTCTGGTTCATAAAGGATTTGAATGGAGGGGTAACAGTGAGCGTTTGTTTTGGGGTTGTGTTTTTATTTTATTTTTAAGCGCAGAAAATCTTGTATGTTAGCCTGTACTCAATTTCAGGGAAGCCTAAAATAGTAGTTGACATGCTACTTATTTAGAAAGTAAAGAAATGAACAGTCCTCTTTGGAGATAGGAGTAATTTATTTTAATTCACCAGTAAGAGATAATGTTTGTTCCATACAGTGGACGCGCCTGTGTGTTATCTGCCTGCCCACACCACCGCCAATCAGGGAGATAAATCTCCACATGAAGCTTTATTAAAATTCTGAGTAATATCACAGTACAGTAAATGTTAGCACCCTCTTTCCCACAGGGAAATATTCTAATATTCATTTCTGGAATTAGTCATTCATCTCTAAACTGATCGCTTTCAAAGCGGAAAAAGCAAACCAACCTTAAAATCCAAAGTCTTTCAGGTTTTTTTTTTTTTTTCCAAATTACCTAAATAAAAACCTGAGCTCTAGTCTTACATAAGTCATTACTTGTTCCATAAGGGTACTGTTGTCAGGCAAATTCTCCTTGTTTTACTGTTTAACCATTTCCAGCTCTTACCTTTGCGCCATTTTTGAAAAGCAGTGCTCAATGGCAGTACCAAAGGGACCTAAACATGAAATTCATTTAAGGGCAAAATTTGACTTGTCTACCACCTAACAAGCCAAGTTGAATCAGAGAACTTAAATTTGATTAGTTGTGTGTCTGCCTGAAACCATTTAGTAGAGCAGTTTAATTCTACATGGTTTTTACAAAACTTATTAAAAGCTGGACAACAAAAGAATTCTATTCTGTAGCTAGTAATTACAGCTCTTTATGTGGGAGGGGTAGGCTGCCTTTTCTCCTGGCATTTGTACACAAAAGCAGGCGAAGCTTTTCCATTGCCTTCCACTGCCATTCTCTGTCCATCTCTTGAGAAGCTGAAAGAATAAAGTCAGCAAGCAGTTTGCACACTGAAGGAAGAAAAAGAGCTGACCCATCCCGATCTGGATAGATAATTGGCAACACCCAAGATGTCTATCATTTTAGCCTTCTGTTTAAAGCTTGTTTATTCATTTAATCAACAGATAACAGGATTTATTTTACCCAGATAGTGACATGAAGATCTAAGCTAAGGAGCATCTTGCATGGCAGAGGGTAGCGACTGGCCTAGTCATATTTGAGTGCTGTCTGCCCCATCACAATGTGGTGGGGAAGGGTCCTTTGCTGTCCATTGGTGTTCTCCCAGCACAGTGCAGGAACTGAGGATTTGGGACCATGCCCAACTGATTTGATCCCTACTTGCCTTGTGGAGGCCCAGTGGTAGCTGTGTGATCCTGGCCGGTTACTCCACTTTGCTCAGTCAGTTGCTTCACTGTAAGATGGTGTAACTTCTGCCCTCAGGGATGTAGGGAGATTGTGTGTGGTTCACAGCACGAGGCTTACTTAGCCCAGAGTGACCACTGCATTTTGGCAGTGGCAGCCATCCGTAGAAGGAAGTATTGATTGTAGAGTGAATGTATGTGACATAATCTACCAAGTGGAGATTCTGAACAAATGTGGCCACTTTTAATGCAAGATAGCTCCTCCTCTGTCCTGCCACAGGACTGTTACTAATCACCAGTGCTGGCCATCCTCTGCTGCCTACGCTGATCATGACCTGCAGGCGGAGAGTCTTAACAGCCATTGCTGAGGCCTCTTTTCTTTCCTACCACCTTTGAGCTAAAGGGTGTTTGTGTTTGTTGGGTAGTGGGGTTGTTGGAAGGACTGGTTTAGCCATAATGCTGACCATAAAAATAAAACTAGCAAGCACAAACAGAAGTCAAATAGTTCCTGGAGAATGTGGTATTTGCCACCTTCCAGTAGGTTCTGTTAAACAGTGTTTTAGTTCTTCGGTGTACTGGGTTGTTAACAGGTGGGAGCGCCCCCTGAGCTGAGGGGGTCCCCTGGAGCCTCCCAGGCAGGGAGAGTGAGGAATGGCCTTGAGTAACCTGAGGGTTACTTGGTGCAGTTCTATAAATACCTCTATCTTTCTTACTAATATACTACAGGGTGGGCATAAAGTTGGCGTGCAGTTGTTTACGGTGTTAAACTATTTTAAATTGCATGTGAACTTTCTGTCTATCCTGTATAACCTACCTGGCCAGTTACATTTTAGGGCCCCAAAGAAGTTTTCAGTATGTTACAGCAAAATGCAAGCCACATACGGGATTTTAAATTTTCCGATAGCCGTGTTAAAAAATCGTACAACACATGAAATTAGTTCCAGTGTATTTCAAATTAACCTAATATGTTCAAAATATTACATAAACATGCAGTAAATGCAAAAATTATTGAGATATTTTCTCAACTAAGTATTTGAATTGTAGGTCACATTTGTCAGTTTACACTAGCCACTTCACGTGCTCAGTGGGCACGTGTGGCTGGTGGCTGCTGTATTGGTCAGCACAAGTCTAGAGTGAGATAAGACTCGAGCAGAGGAAGCAAGCCAGAACTGGACTTGGAATTACTTTCCCACAAAGAAATACACAGCTAAGCAACACACAAAACCAGAAATAATTTGAGCTCTGCTCTCAAAGCAGGGGAGGATCTGGAACCCTGCAACAGGCTTGGTCTTAAGTTCTTTTCTGTCCCTTGGTGGGCGTGTGCGCCTCAGCCTGGGGTGGGGGTGGGGGGCTTCTGGAAGTCTGGAACCCAGCTGGGAGGCTCTAAGCAGCCTGCCAGGTGACTTTATCTGGAATTCACTGGGGAGTCAGCATTATTATTTAATTACCTAAATTGCATACCGCTCTGTTCTCTTGAGAAAAGCTTTGGAGACCTTTGGGAGGAAACCTTTTAAACAGGAATTCCCAGCATTGACTTACTTGTTAGCTATACACAGTCCTGATCCCCGTAATCATGACTTCTTCTCTCTCTTTTTTTTTTTTTCAAGATGAATGATTTTGGGATTAAGAACATGGACCAGGTAGCCCCTGTGGCTAACAGTTACCGGGGAACACTAAAGGTAAGTGAGCAAGTCTTAAAGTTGTTTTTCTTTTAATGGAAACCTTGATCTCTAGGAGAATAAACAATGGGTTGGGTCCCACAAGTCCGGTTCTAACTTTTCAAATGCTGGCTGCGTGACTCTAGATGATTTGCTTTCTTGCTCTGGGTCTCAGTTTTCTATAGAAGGGGTATCTTGGTACCTGTTCTACTCGGGCTCCAAGATAGGGAACCATTTAATTCATACAGTGAGGCTTTTGTGGTTTCTATCTAAGGCGCCTTCCAAGGTGAAAACGCCGAGACTCTTAGTAAAACAGCTGGGGAGGCTGTCTCTGCTGCCCTTTCTGTCCACCTAGGAGGTTTCTTGGGTGATGGGAAGGCTGTTTAGGATCCAGAATGAAAGCACTTTGAAGAGGCAGACAGAGCCGGCAGCTGCTGCTGCTTGCATGAGAAGGAACGATGCCCTTGATGTTGTAGATAGCCTGCTCCTAACTGGTGCAGAGAGCAAGCAGGCCTGTTTATATAAACCAAAAAAAATAAAACAGTTTAAAGATGAAAGAGACTTCTCTGCTGCATAAACAAATTTGATATAGCTTCTCTCATAATTCCTTTTGGGAACATTCTTTAGTAACACACACTGGTAATTCCCCATTTGCCTTCCATGTGACAGTGGTATTTGATTGTTGTAGCATTATGTAGTAAACATGTTTCAGAAGCAGTGGTTTTAAGATTGGCCTCCCCGGTGTCTTGCATAATGCGGGTGTATCTCTGGTCTGGTACATCAGCCTTTGTAAATCATTCCTGAGGTTATTTGTCTGATGTAGCCCAGAGAGCCAAAACTTGGCATAGACCTTTCTGGAGTTCTGTAAAGGTCACCAAACTTCAGTTTTCTTGTTTAATTTGGCCAGGCATTTTAAGCGTGGGAGAAACGGTATAAGAAATTACGCTATTAAGTTGAAACCACACCCCTAAGAAAAAATCTTTCTATGAATTCAGTTAATTTAATGATGCCTGTGTGATTCCTGGAGATGGTGGAGAAACAGCCGTTGCTCACACTGATGTGTTGAAATATGAAGCCCAGATTGGTAGTGTTCTTTGACTTCCTTCCTGTTTTTTCTTGTTTTTTTTTTTTTTTTGTTTGTTTGTTTTTTAAATTACAGTCAGGAAAGGCATTTTTTAGCTGCATGGGCCATGCTGGTGGGAATCTTTTAAGTTTATTAGACGTTTCACCGAAATTAGCTCTGCAGTAGTTTGTGAATGGGGATGAGTGCTGTGACTGTTTGGCGAGTCCCACTCCTGGCTCCCGGGCAGTGCTCACCTTTGTCTGGAGTTCTCTGGCCCGGCTCCAGCTGAGCCCTGCTGTCTTCCCAGTGCGTCATCCATTGTCTGCATTTCTGAAAAGAAAGCACTCAAACTGATTTTATTTGTAGATGTGTTACACTTTTTTTTATTGGTGAGTCAACAGATGGGTCACCATATTACACATGACATGGGATTTCCAGATTATGTTAAAAAAAAATACAACCTTTCTCCACATTGCCCTCAGTCAATTAAGCAGTGATGAATCAAGATGTTCTCTGTTACTGACATGAGTCTGACACTAAAGGCTGTTTCTTTCATAACTGTTCTATGAGATGATGAGAAATCAACAGAGTGTAAGGTTTTGTCCTTCTGTGTGTATTGCTTTTTCTTTTCCTGCAATTGTAGATAATTTAATTTAACTTTTAAGACTGTTTCCTTTCAAAATCATTCCCCTTAGTAGGTGATTTGGAGGCATCTTTTTAAGACTCTTCACTTTTTATAAAACAAAATGTGTAAAGGGATTTTTTTTTCATGTGTTACTATTTTCTGAACCATTGGAATTGATGAGGAAAAACAGCTCTAGTTTCAGTGAAATTGTTTCATGGTAAACATTTTGAAATACATCCTTCCAAGATAGTTTATTTCATCACTTGATTTTCAGCTTCTATCCTGTCATTTGCCTTCTGTTTTAACTGCACTGCACTCAAACCGCTGCCTTGTCAGAGGTCGTTTTCCTTATACACACAGCCTGATTGAATTTTTCTCCCATGTAATCACAGGACCAGGCATTTGGAGAAGGAGGGAGGGGGTCCCTGAATTCTAAGATTCTGTTATTTTTAGATATGTTTATTTATTGATTGATTTAAGTGAATTAGGCCACTAAAACAAATTCCTAGTCCTTCTGACTGTGAGTTTATTTAAAGAATCCAGAGAAAAATGGAATAATTCTGGTCACTTTGAAGTCTGATTTGATAGCATGTGCTGCTTCAGAATTGCCAGTTTAAGGGAGTCTGTCTGTAAGATCGCCCCTGGAACCCTTTAAACACAGGTACTTACTTTGTAATGTTATTATTTGTTTTCTTTTGCACCCGTTTAGCGCCAGCCAGCCTTTGACACTTTTGATGGGTCCCTTTTTGCTGTTTTCCCCTCACTAAATGAAGAGCAAACACTCCAAGAAGTGCCAACAGGCTTGGATTCCATTTCCTATGGTAATTTGTTCCTTAGACTGACACATTGTGTGTGATTTCCCTAAGTGGTTCAGTTAATAAAGAGATGACAGGTCTAAGGGGTAAATGTTGGTGTCTCCACTCTTTGGTATAAAAGGTCAGAGGGACCCTCTGGCCCTGGGAGGAGGTAGTTTTCTCTTTGTGGGACTTGGTGATTCCACCTCCAGTGCCAGACGCACCCCAGAGAGCTGCTATCAGCAAACTGTAGGAGAACCCCTGAGATTTCCTTTGTGAATGTTTTCAACATTAGCAAAGCATCTGTCTGCTCTAGTTTGCAAAACAGACAGAAAACAGGGGACATTAACATGCACCCCAACTTTTAATTCTGGGTTCATATCATTAGTTAAATCATCTCCCCTGCCCCAAGTTTTGGGGCAACAAATGATCCTTCGTAATCTTTACCCATCTGTATTTATTTCTGTAATTTGTAATGTCATTGTTTTATCTTTTTAAAGAAATAGCACGTCAGATAATGTCTGTGCAATTACTGTGCTAGAGTTATTAGTTGGAAACATTCCAGAGATGACTTTGTCATATGAAGTAGGTGCTAGAAAATACAGCCCTGAAAATTAATTAAAACACACATGCTTGCATAAGCATGTCTTGTGACAGCCATTTATCATTCCTGAAATTGCTGAGGCCACCTAGAGATTGTTTTTCTATAAAAATTGAAGGTGTGCCTACTTGACGAGGCCTTAGGTTCACGTTGTTCTCAGGCCTCTGCTGCTGCTTAGTTTAATGGAAGTAACTTCCAAACGACACATTTGCAATCCTTTTGAGCCTTTTAAGCAAAAACCATAAAGTTCCTTTCATTGTCTAAAATTTTAAAATAGAAATTTTACCTATGTATAACTTCTATATAAAGCCTGGAAAAATAGAATAAATCTTGAGTTTTATTTTAGATTTCTTTTTTCCTTAGCATAGTTTTGAGATGTATACTTTCTTCATTTTAGTAGAAAAAAAATTGTTACTATGTATCCATTTTATATAATTATATGTAAATATAACTTGTAAACAGTAGAGCCTCCATAGTTGTCGACCTAGTTTCCATAAACCAGATATGCACTACATGGATAGCAGGCCTAGTTCTTCATGGTGACCACCTCTGTATGTTGACCAGTTTGTGTTAGTCCTTTGGGTGGTCAACTCACAGAGGTTCTACTGTATTTTCTTTTAAGGATTTACCAAGAAGGTTTAGGATCAAAATTGTTCTTTCCCCAAAACTAAGATTTCTCTCCCAAATGCCCACCCGATACACATAATGTGTATTGCCAACTTGAAGTCCTAATTCCACCCTGGGGTTTCTTTCCAGATTCGAACAACTGTGAATTGCCTTTGTTAACTCCATGCAGCAAGGCTGTGATGAGTCAGGCCTTAAAAGCTACCTTCAATGGATTCAAAAAGGAGCAGCGTCGCCTTGGCATTCCAAAGAGTAAGTGCGGCTCCCCTGAGCCCGTGTCGGTCCAGAAGAACAGTCCAGTTTGATTGCAGTTGTCTCATCTTGACATAACTTGCTAAGCTTTTGCTTGTGGTATCTTGCAAAGAGTAGCATTGATATAGTTAACTCGAGCCAGTTTTTATTTCAGCCCCATCGGCTGAAGGCTCATCATGTCTGTGTTAGGAGTCCTTAGTGTCTTAGACTCTGCCGGGCCCTGTCATAGTGGGGTCTTGTTCATGTCATTGGTTCTGGTTTTCCGGGACATGGTGAGTCATGTAGGGATGGCTCTGGTCCCACTGCCTTTCCATGTTTCTCACCATGTGTGTTCGTCTTTTTTCCCTCCTGGTAGATCCGTGGCTGTGGAACGAGCAGCAAGTATGCCAGTGGCTTCTCTGGGCAACCAACGAGTTCAGCCTGGTGAACGTCAACCTGCAGAGGTTTGGCATGAATGGCCAGGTGCTGTGTGACCTGGGCAAGGAACGCTTTCTGGATCTGGCACCTGACTTTGTGGGCGACATCCTCTGGGAACATCTGGAGCAGATGATCAAAGGTATCGGCTGCGTGACCCGCCTTCCTAGTCCAGGGGGAGCCGTGACAGGGACAAGCAATGATAGTTCTTGTACGGTTTGCATTTCAAATGACAAAGGGCAAATTGCTCCAAAATACCACTCAAGTGAGTCAGATATGTGGCAGTGTTTATAGATTTTTTTATTCCACTTAAGTACATGTGTGTGTGTGTGTGTTTCTGTGTTTAGCATGAAGAATAGCCACAAGGCAGTAGCCTTAGTCACTAAATTGTTCACGTTGCCAGACTGCATTCATTACGGGAATCCTTGTTGACTCAGATATATAGGCCAGCAAACATTCCTGTATTTTGTGAACTCACCTTACAGCAACAAAAGAAATAAGTCAGCTTTCATGTAAGGAGGATTTTACTCAGATAAACTCTGAATTTTACAGTAAATTTTTCCTAAACCTAAATGGAATTCAACAAAGAGAATTGGGGGAGGGGGAGAAATAGGTTTAAACAAGTAATTAATATATATTTAAAAATTGACAGATACATAGAAACTACCCATTAATTAATAGTAATGTCACCGAATACAGAGAAAGTCTTGATTCAGAACTTAAAAGAGCAGTGAGACCAATGTTTAAAGTACATTGAGTTAAAAAAAAGGAAGAAAATTACAGTAAGGACCTTTAAATTAAAAAAAAATAAAAGAAAATTAGCATTTGTTGAGTTCAGACAAATGTTTTTCACTTAATTGATTTTTTTGTTTGTTTGAGACAAAGTCTCACTCTCTCCCTGGGTAAAGTGCTGTGGCATCATAGCTCACAGCAACCTCAAACTTGTGGTTCATGTGATCCTCTTGCCTCAGCCTCCCCATTAACTAGGAATAAGGTGCCCACCACAACCCCCAGCTAGTGTTTCTGTTTTTGGTAGAGGCAGGATCTTGTTGCTCAGGCTGGTCTCGAAGTCCTCTGAGCTCAAGCAATCCACCCACCTCGGCCTCCCAGAGTGCCAGGATTATGGTCGTGAGCCCCTGTACCCTGCCACTTAATTGATTTTAAACACACATAGTCTGAACATCTCCTGTCGACTCTGAGAGTCTCAGAAAGACCTACAGTTCAACCACCAGCTTTTTAGTCATGGCTTCTGAGGGCCAGGGAAACTTAACTTTTGAAGACCCCCAAATTCTGTCTGAACTTCCGACCTAACAAGTTTCTGGTGAGTCTGTTTCTTGTCATATTGAGCCTGTTTTGCCATTACTTGGACGTGTGAGTCTGTGTGTGGCTTGTGTGCTCATAGTAAACACACGTCTGCAGAGCACAGACCTGTTCCCTCTCAGAGTTCACGCGTGTCCAGTTGCAGACTCCCACCACACCCTGGGGAAACTGTTGGGGCTTGGAAGACTCCTGAGACAGGCACTGTGTCCGTTTTATTTGTCCCCTGTTTTCCCGTCTCTGGTTCAGGGACATCATAAATGTTGTACTATCTCCTGAATACGTTAGTGAATTAAATTCTCAATCTGGGTCTTCCAAATTTTGTGATGAAAAATTTAACCTTACCCATCACATCATTCATTTTGGAAAATTTATTTTCTGGTTATTGGAAAAAGGTGTTGCTATCTCTAGGTTTCCAGAAAAAGACATACGGTGATGCGGAGCCCCCGAGATTAAATGGGAAGCATTCGTGCACTTAGTTGGTTTGAAATAAGCAGAGAGCAATGATGCAGAGTGAGCTGTTTCTTATCAGTAGTTTTTATCTTGCTCTGCCATCTTATGTCTTTTTTTTTTTTTTTCAGAAAACCAAGAAAAGACAGAAGATCAGTATGAAGAAAATTCACATCTCAACTCCGTCCCTCACTGGATTAGCAGTAATACACTAGGTCAGTTCACCTGAGTCAGCCCTCTGGAGCTTGGTCTCAAGGCAGACGGGGACTGTAATGGAGGCTCCCCTGGGGGCCGTCTGCATCCTCTGTTCCATAGAGCGGCCACACGTGGGTGTTGAGCTGGGGAGCAGCTGAAATGCGGCCAGTCTTCAGGGAGAAGTGTAGTAAGAATATAATGCACACTGGCTGTGGAAGCCTTAGAACGAAACAGAGAACGCAAAATATCTCCTTGATCATAGTTAACATTGATTACATGTTAAAGTACGATAATTGATGGGTTAGGGCAAATAAAATAAGAAAATTAACTTCACCTGTTCCTTTGCTCTTTCAAAATGGCCACTGGAAAATTTTAAATCACACAAGTTCACATGATCTCCCATTGGTCAATGCCATTAGTCCTGGTCTAGGCATTTTGTAGAGCAAAGACCAGCATGACATGAGCCTAGTTACTGTGGTCACCAGATATTAATCTAATATAACCTACAAGAGATGGCCTGCGCAGGTGTGTTGGCAGCCACTGTAAATTTGCACTGGACTTAGGACTTCAGAGAGCTGTCATGGAACCTGGGTCCCCTTCTGGTAGCTGGTACTGGGGAGGCCAACCTGTGGGTTAGGGGGTCGTCAGAACAGTGTGCTTCAGCAGTGCTCTCTGCTTCCATGCAGGGGAGGGGGAGCCCAGCCTCCCCCACACACTGCTCAGGAGGTCTCTCTGAACGTGGCACAGTGGGAGACCCTCTGCTTGCTGAGCCTGAGTCACAGTAAGAGAGAAAATGAGCTATTCCCTGATGGACAGAGAGAGGTGTAGTGTGAAGGGGAGAAGGAAAAAGATGGGCTTGTTGTCAGAACGGGGTTTCATAGTCTGGTTCTGCTCCATCCAAGTCACATACTGTGTGACAGATCACTTGGTCTCTCTGAACCGCGAAGCTGAAATCTGGGGAGCCCTACCACTCTGGGGTAACACGAAAGCACTAGGCAGGGGTGTCCAACCTGCAGCCCCTGAGCCACTGGCTAATTGTTTGAGGGCTGTTTTGTTTATCTCTGGTGTCTGATAATCACAGAAAGTATGCACAGGCCTTTTGTTTTGCTCATTGGCTGTCAATAGTGTTTGTGTATTTAATGTGTAACCCAAGGTAACTCCTCTTCAATTGTTCCAATTTGCAGCAAAGAATTTAAAAAAAAGGTTGGACACCCCTACACTTAGAGCCATGGAGATAGGAGGCCTGGCTGTGGGGCAGCACCTCGGCAGTGGTTTACTGCTTGAGCACACAAAACCTCTGAGAAGAAGTCTTAGGGACAAACTGCCCCACTCTCTACCTAGCTCTGTGAGGGCTGGAGCAAGCAGGGTGGTCACCTGGGATTTGCTCAGGTGGTTGGTTGTCACATCAGTGCTGACTTGGAGACCTCTGCCATCCATTGTGTGCCCCAGGTTTTGGTGCCGAGCAAGCGCAGTATGGGGTTCAGACGCAGAATTACCCTAAAGGCGGCCTCCTGGATAGCGTGTGTCCAGCATCAGCGCCAGGTGTGCTCAGCTCTGAGCAGGACTTTCAGATGTTCCCCAAGTCCCGGCTCGACACTGTCAGCGTCAGCTACTGCCCGGTCAGGCAGGACTTCCCAGCCAGCAACTTGAATTTGCTCCCCAACAGTTCTGGTAAGATGGGAAGCATCTGGCAGCTGTTGGATTGATTCTGAGAGCCACCATCAGACATTAACAATGGCTTTAGTAAACGTGTCCCGCGTTCAGCCCTGGGGGGGAGGTCAAGGCACTGGCCTGTGTTCTGAGTGCCTTTCCCACAAGCACACCCCTCGGGCATTCCAGTCACTAGTTTAGGCTCTCTAGATTTTGAGTAAACAGGCACAGCCCTTGTTCTTGTAGCCACATTCCTCCACCCAGTGGGGTATTTTTTGAAGACTATGCAGGAATGTGACAGGTTGCTTTTTATGGAGCTGTAACATACAGTGTACAAATAAATCTCAGGTCACACCACTGATTGAATTTGTGCATGTCCATCCACCAGCATCGTACTCATCTAGGTAGAGATGGAGACGTTTCTAGCACCCCAGAGGCTTCCACAAACCTCTTTCCCATCAATACCATCCCCACCCCAAAAGGAAGCCACCCTGAGTTTTTATTGTCATGGATTGGTTTTTGCTGCTCTTGAACTTCATTGAGATGCCCACAGAACGCGCACAGTGTGCTTTCTTCTGGGGTCTGTCTTTTGCTTGTGGCTATGTCTGATGCTCATCCAGGGAGCACTGGGGGATGTTGGGGTGGCACCATCAAACCTGAGACCACTTTGCAGTTAGTGCTCACGACCCTGGGCCACCTTGTGTCCTTGAGGAGTCACAGCATGTGTTTGGTTGTCTTTGCCAGGGAAGCCCAAGGACCATGACTCCTCTGACAATGGTACCGACAGCTTCGAGAGCTCGGAGTCCCTGCTGCAGTCCTGGAACAGCCAGTCGTCCTTGCTGGACGTGCAGAGGGTGCCTTCCTTTGAGAGCTTCGAAGACGACTGCAGCCAGTCTCTCTGCCTCAGTAAACCGACCATGTCTTTCAAGGATTACATCCAGGAGAGGAGTGACCCGGTGGAGCAAGGCAAACCAGTTATACCTGCAGCCGTGCTGGCTGGCTTTACCGGTAAGTGTGCAACTCCGGGAGCCCAGCCACCCGGTCTCTTGAGTCAAAGTGAGAGAGGTTCCCAGGTTCCTGCCTGGTCACAGCAGTGTGCTTACTGGGGGCGTTTCTAGGTTAGACACATTGGTCCACACGCCACATTTTATATGTAGCTCACTGTATCCCTGAATTCTAAAAAAGCCAACCTTGCGGGAATAGTCAGGTTCACAGAGCTCCGTGGAGGGGATGAGATCAGCAGGCTACTTACTCCTCCACCTGGGTGTTCTGGAGAGGAGGAGACGCAGAGGACATGGCCTGGGAGTCTTCAGCCCTGACTCACCCACTCCAGGAATCTCAAAGAATGTCAGCCGAGCTCAGGAGGGGCCGCAGAGCCAGCCTCATGGTGTGGCACCGTCTACCTTTTCTTGCTTCTAAAATCCATATCCTCTGGTTTTAGGGTTTGGGTGAGAACTATTCTAGGCAGAGGGCAAATATGAAAGCTGTTTTTAGAACCAGATATTTCCAGGAGTTGAGTGAAAGTGCCTAGACTTTGGTTTTCATTATCTTCTGTGTCCTTAAATGTGCTTGCTTCTTGCTCCATATTTTGACCATATGGAGCCACTGTGGGTTAAAATAACTACTTTTTAAAACCTGATAGGTTAAAATAAGGATACTTAGGTATTTATTTTTTTTCTGTCTAAAAAAAATTGTGTAGGGTGGCACCTGTGGCTCAAAGGAGTAGGGCGCTGGCCCCATATGCTGGAGGTGGTGGGTTCAAACCCAGTCCCGGCTAAAAACTGCAAAGAAAAAAAAATTGTGTAAATGTATTAAAAGACACATAATGAGTGTGTGAAAACTATTACAGTATTACAGTTTTCATAAACAGATGTTCAGGCCCTGTAAGGAAATAAACGGCTGTAGGATGACTGTTCTCATTTCATTAGTAACACCAGTTAGCCTTCATCAACTGCCAGCTCTGTGCGGTTAACTGGGCATGTGGTCTATAGTCCCAGGGACGGCTGGAGGAGAAGACTGAGGGCAGGTGGTACGAACCCATTTTACAGGTGGGGATGTTGGCTCAGATAGACAGCCCTCCGTGGTCACATAGCTCTGGTTCCAGAGTGTCTGTGCTTTGTGGCAAAGCTGCGTAGATGACAGCCATGGCGTTTTGAGGGAAGAGCTGTTTCGTGGAGAGAGATTGGGCTTAGGGTCAGAAGATCTGGGCTTTTCACCCCTTCTCGTGATGGGTGTTTGGTCCTGACAAGGCACCTGTCTTCCAAGTTGCGTCTTCCTCGTCTTTAAGACAGGGCTGCTATACCACTGGCCTTACAGCTGGCTGTTCTCAATACCCATATGGAGAAGGTCTGTGAGCTGCTCTTGGCAAACTTGCTTCCCGGGCGGAGGCTGTGAGGCAGTGGGTCTTGAGTAAACTGGGCCCATTGGGCAATTCACGCACGGCCCCTTGGCAGGGAAGTGGCAGCGTGGGAGCCCACAAATGACACACCTCTTTCTGTGACGAAACGCTCCTTTAGCTGCTCCCATTCCCCACCCACCCACCCCGGCTGCTTCTAGAAATAAACTGTGAAGGTTTTCCTATGAAGAATCATTAAACAGGATGAGGAATTTTAATGTCAAGGGTTGTTGGCCCCACAGCTTCCCTCCATAAAGCACCAGCCCAGCTGTGGAGAGAAGAGTGTCTTGGTCGAGTCACCCTCTTCTCCAGGAGAGGCAGACGAGGAGGTCTTGGCGCCCAGACTCAACCCACTAGAGCACTGAGGAGTGTCACCGACGCCTGGCGCTCCTTCTTCACCTGAGCCCCATCCAGATTGCTGGGTGTCCTTTGTGAAATCAGCCTGTGTTAGGATGTGGAAGCATTGCCTTTGTGCGTTTAATCTATGGAAGGTGTGACCTGTCCTCTCCCTGCAGGCAGTGGACCCATCCAGCTGTGGCAGTTTCTCCTGGAGTTGCTCTCCGACAAGTCTTGCCAGTCGTTCATTAGCTGGACAGGGGATGGATGGGAGTTCAAGCTTGCTGACCCTGATGAGGTATGGCCGGAGCCCTGGAGAGATCTCGGCTCCCAAACCTGACCCATCTCACAGAGCTCAAAAATTCAGTTCTCTGGGTACCAGAAAGGGTTCACAAGTCCCAGTGAGAATCCTTCTACAGGAGTGCTGGGAAAATTGAGTTGGAGTCATGGTTTTGCTAATAAATTTCTGTGGTGTACCCTACGTGTGTGAACTTCACACAGATCCCTTTCTTGCTCTATTGTCTGATCAAAAAGCCCAAGTTACAAACTAAGGCTCTGCCCTAACCATCTGAAAGTGCTGAGGCACCTGGGGGTGAGTCTCAGAGTGGCCGCATGCTGGCCGCCTAGCTTTACTCCCCGCTGCCTGGCTGAGCTCAGCAGAGCCAGCACCAGCCCGGGAGCCTCTGCTGGAGGAGAAGGCTGAGGGCAGGTGTGACACTAGCCATCTGGACAGCACCTGAGAGGCCGTTGGTCTCTGGCACCAGGAGTGTGATCTGTCACTTCTCAGGTCCCTTGTGAAACAAGGGCTGAGGAATGAATCTGTCACATGGCTCAGCGTCCCACTTAGCAGCTCTTAACTTCAGTAGCCAGAACCCAGGGTGGAGGAGAAGGGGGTGACCCCAGTGTTTCCCTTATCTCTGAACCTCCTGGTTCTGAACCCCTGGCTCCCAGGAGATTGGGCTGAGCCAGAGCTAGAGGCAGGGAGCAGGGCCCCACTCCCCAGTGTTTCTCACTCACATGCAGAGAAGCAGCTGAGGAACACAGTATCCCTGGCGTATGTGCTAAAAGGCAGGTGGACCCTCCCGTGGGCCTTCTGCAGGTGTCAAGTCCTCGGGTGAGCGCACATCAGAAGTTTATCAGGGAGGAAAGTCACTCGCGTTTTCTTCCTTGACACATTTAACTCTTTTCCATGTGTGTCATCTAAAGGTGGCCCGCCGGTGGGGAAAGAGGAAAAATAAGCCCAAGATGAACTACGAGAAGCTGAGCCGGGGTTTGCGCTACTATTACGACAAGAACATCATCCACAAGACGTCAGGGAAGCGCTACGTGTACCGCTTTGTGTGCGACCTCCAGAACCTGCTGGGGTTTACACCCGAGGAACTGCACGCCATCCTGGGCGTCCAGCCCGACACAGAGGACTGAGGTCCCTGAGACCCGTGGACTGACGGGAAACTCGTCTTGACTGACTGCTCCAAGGACCCAGGAAAGGCGGGTTTGGATATATCCACGAAGGTCACCAAGAAGCAGTGGCCTATTTCATCGCAGACCTTGCCTCTTGACAAAGCTGTCTCCCCATGGCAGAGACAGCCCAGCCGCTGGATTCTAAGGTCTCCTGACGCACAGATGCCGCACACCACACTGTTAGATGAACGCAGTGGAGAGGGCAGCCGGGAGCCGCCCTGGCCCCTAGCAGGCCGTGGGGCGGGATGGTTCTGGCTGTTTGAGATTCTCCAAGGAGTGAGCTATCACGGACATACACAAACTTCCTTGAAATTTTCTTTCGCCTTCTGCAACCAAGAACAGCAAATGCAAAAGCCGCCTCTTTGTTCAAGAGGGATAGGAGGTGGGAAGGAAAAACCATGCCATTTCAGAAGTTCGTTTGTATATATGATTATAATCTTAGAATTGTTCTCAAAATCCTCTAACAGTACTATTTAACAAAAATTGTATATTGTAATTTAAAACAATTATATAACTGTATTTGAAATAAGAATGCAGACATCCAATGTTTTATTTCGTTTTTCAGTAGCACGTGTGCATTTTACAAAGTTTTATTCTGCCAAGGGCAGACTTGAGAGAAGTCCAGTCTGAATTTACACTTCAGAGACCTGAGGAACAAGGTCTAAGACAGGTCATCCCTGCTTTGTGTGTTTCTGTGGGGTTTTTGCCTTGGTTAGCTGGCAAGGAGTTTGTACAGTTGGGAATTTTTACCAGAAACCTGCAGTTACTATCTGGGGACACATCTGGTCTTCTCTGCTTTCTTCTTTCATTGTAAAGCAAAGCGATGAAGCAGTATTTTTCTTGACAAATGGCATATGTTTTCCACTTCTATGCATGTCTTAAAGTCAGTTTATACACAAAGCGTATTTTATTTTTTAGTCTGACTGTGTTTCTCCAACTGCTTGGCTCTCCCTGACCACCCGGCCCCTTCCTTCCTGTGCCCCAAGTTACTCTGTATGATTAAAATAAGAATACTATTTTTGGAAATATGCGACTCCTTTTCAGAGATCAGGAGGGATTTATGTAGCAGCTATTTTTACTGCAAAAGTAATTCACTGGAGAAAAATGTAATTTGTAAGAAAGCTTTATTTTTATCTCAGCTCCATGTTGAGTTAAACATTGTATAGCGCTGAAGAGTGGGGGAGGGGCAGGGTCTTCATTAAACTTGTTGAATGTACACGAAGCCCCTTGGTCCCGTCTTCCTTCCTTGTCATGTCCTAGACTGTGTGGGTAGCATGCTGCCCCTTTCTGCTGCGTCTCAGCCGGATGGGTTTTGCTTGTTTGTTTCTTGTTTTCTAGGACACAGACTGCCCTGAGGCACAGAGAGGGTACAGAGATGGGAAAGAAGGCCCTGGGGTCTGTTCACAAGGAGAAGATGTGGACCCTTTCACCGTTTTATCAAAAGAGCCCCTGAGTGGGGTGTGTTCCTAGCCTTCTTCATAAATGATCCAATCAAGTTGGTTTCAAAGTCGGACAGGCCTTCCTGCTTCCTAGCGGTGTGGCTCTGGCCCAGTGGCTGGCGTCTCTGAAGAGCCATCATGTGATGAGATGGGAATGGGGGGGGCAGGGCCAGCGGGGGAGCAAACCCAGAGCTGGGACGACTCAGCCGAAATACCCACAGAAGACCGTCCCCAGTGTGTGTAAGCACAGGATGTTTTTCTCAAGTGGGATCTATTTATCACGCAGACATCTGTTTATAATATAAACAGACACGGGACTGGGAACATCTTGCTGCCGAAAGAGGCTGAACCACATGAAATTGCCAACACGAGGCTGATTTTTATCTACGAAGATGGCAGTTTCATGTGGTTCCATCTAATAGGGAAACTAAAGTCTACGAACCTTCGGCGTGGTAATGAACGGGTCTTAGCATAAAATCTTTGTGAGTTGGTCTTTTTCCCCTCAAATAATAAAGTATTTTGTTTATATAAACTTGTAATAGTCCTTGTTCTTCCTCCCTGCCCCCATCATGGAGCGGTGGAGTTGGGGTATTTTAAGATCTCTCCTCTGCCAGAAACTTTACATTACCGAGAGCCAAATCTCTGTTTAAGTGATTGCATGCACAAGTTACCTAGAAACCACTCCTGGGCTGGAATCCTCCTTGGCCCTTCTTGCAGCAATTCTTGAACATTGCTCTTTAAGAAAGGATTACAATGGAAAGACCAGGGTGTCCTGTCTTGCCAGAGGCTTGGCAGAGGCAACTGAGGAGAGAGTTCAGACTGTTCATATAACATATCTAAGGACTTGTGGTTTAAGCCTTTTGTCATGGAGGCCACGACTCTCCATGTCCATTCTACACAGTTCTGACATTGGTGGGGTGACTTACCAGGCATGAGTTTGACATCTGTCCTCAAACTCATTCTCAGAACTTCACGTTCTTCAAAGTTAGCAAGGTTCCCAAAAAGCTGGTATTGGTTGCATCCACTGCTGTGCTGGATGTGATTTGTAATGTAAGGAAGCTTTATTTTTATTTCAGCTCTGGGCTAGTGGCATGTCTCTTCCCAGTCCACGTCAGCAATGGTGTTTGGTAACTTGAGATTGGTCAGGATGAAAGGATGTAGACCATGGGAATTAGCAAACACTGCAAATCAGACTTCATTCCTTGGGGAGGTTAAGCACCGCCCATTGGTTATAGCTGTTGAAGTTGATCATATTAGAAAGTAAAACAAACTTTACAAAATTTATTTAAAAATTATATGTAAACAGCTTTTTCTTATAAAAATAATTTTTTTAATGTTAGCATGGTGTCATTTCACGTTTGCCGACCTCTTTGGCTTATTTAAAGAGAGTGAGATTCTTCTCTCTGTCCTGCTTTTGGTCTGCTCTGATGTATTTTGACTGGGTATGTGAAGAAAATCTGGCCTAGCAGAGATACATAATTGAAAAAAAGAAGAATAATTAACAGCTATTTCAGATAACTGTGGATATTCTTTTGCCCTACGCCAAAAGTTAATAAATGGTAATTTCCTAATTGCAGTTGGGACATGAAAACCCATCAGTAAGCCTTCCTACGATTACATTCAATTCCACTGGTCTTTCATCCGCTTTGAAAGGATCGTTTACCCATGCGTAATTTTGCAACGTCACGCATTGGTCATTTGGAAAATATTGCTTCAAAATGTTGACACATTTCAATACACAATATTAAACAGCTGCATCAGAAATACCACCACACATCACATCAAAAAAATACTAGGAAGCTATCAAGCTCACAGTGGCTACAAATTTCCCCAAAATTCAAATTTTCACTTGAACAAGTTCAGATTTTGTCATTAGCAGCAAATATTCCTTAGTCATTTTCTTTGAAGTGAAGGCATGTATTTTTGAGGAAACACCAGCCAAATACCCAAGTCTGAGTAAACATAATCTATCAGTTGTTCTTTTGGGTAAAAGTGCTCTGGAGCAGAGTGGTCAGTTAAGGGCAGGTACGGCTTCCTCTGGGCAGCCACAGTGCTTCCTACACCTGCGCTTCCCATTTTCTCCTACCACACTGAAAACGATACCCGCCCTGTTAGCAAATGAGCTGCTATCACTTCATCAAGGAAATTCTGGAGTACAACTAATATTTTTTCTTTTCAGGCTTTCCTACAGATGCATGCTGGAGAGGGTGAGGCGACCCTTGGTAGAGTTCAGTCCACTGCCTTCATGCCAAGGCACCGACAGTCCTAATTACCCGCCTTTGCTTTTGCAGCAGAAGTGCGAATGTTGACCCAGTAAAAGAGGCAAACATGTGTCACTATTACTGTAAAAATAGTTTCGACTTGAGGATCCCCCTGGAAAGGTCTTAGAGACCCCGGGAGTCTGTAGACCTCACTTTGAGAACAGTTTTAGAAAGAGGTTTACCCAGAAAAAAAGGGGCAGGCCTTGGGGAAGGTGGGAGAAGGCAGGGAAAATTTGCCTTTCCCTCTCTCTTCTCTGCTCTTAACCTTCTCTAAGGAGGAAGCACACTTCATTTAAAGGAGAAAGAAATGCTGTTTTGTGTGATAAAGAAAAGTGCCTTCACCCAGGGCAATGGTTGGTATGCGCGAAAGCCCTTTTCCTGCCCTCCTATCTGTGCTCTTTTTAGAATAAAATGTATGTTTGCCACAATTTTTTAGAAATTACAAGAAAAGAGGAAAGGGATGGGGCTTGAGAAATGCAAACGGTGGATCTAGGGTTTGAAGGGGCTGCCTGGAGGGCTGGGAGAGCATGGGACTGGGGGCTGGAGGAGGAGGAGTGGGTGCTGAGGCAGGGACTGGGGAGCAAACTGCACGCCCATCCTCTGAATCATCAGGCACGTTGGCGGAGGGCTTGGTGTGCTTTGGAGCCAGGCCTCGGATTCTCGCTCACCAGCTCCATCATGCACTAGTGTGTGACCCAGGGCATCCAACATAATAGCTCTCTGCTTCAGTTTCTCCTCCAAACAGTGGGGTCATTGGTAGCCCCCCAGGGTGGATTAACCCAGCAGGGGTGTGAGATTGTGTGATGTCAGCAACCTGGGGGTGGAGGAGGCATTTATGGCATGAAAAGAGCCACCAAAGAAGGTGTGGTAAGCCCGGGGCTCTGCAAAGAAAATGCAGTTCCTGACACGTCTCCACAAGAAAGGTCAGTGGTAAAGCTAGTCCTGGAACCAGGACTCGAACCCAGGTCTCCTGTGTCCCGATGCTGTTCTCTGGCCACAATAACCCTGCTGCTGTGTATTAAAAATACTACCCCAAGTACTACCCAGGGGTTCCTCCAAAGCTCCCAGTTCCTCCTTCTACGAAACAGACTCCACAGACCTTGTTTTGAATTTCAAATTATCCATGAGCCTCCCACCCAAAGAGCACACAGCCCCCACAGGCACAGCCTGCAGCAGCTAGCTCACTTTGAGCAGATGCAAGAATCCCATAATCTGGGCCAGATGTCAAGCTGTCTTTTCTGTAGGAATGAAGCAAAAGCGTAAGACCCAAACCAGAATGGGGGAAACCCCTTATTGTGCAATTCTTTTGTAATTCTTGGGCGGAGTTTGAATATGAGTTCTGCCTGAAATCTAACATTAGGGGAAAAACCATTTTTGGTCAGAGCTGGTGTGATGACATATTTGCAGCTGGAATTCTCATGGCCTTTGTTCCATGTACTATGAGTAACTGTCCCCTCCCTGCTACTCCAACTCATGCTCAGGTGGCAGAACGGCCCAAGATTACCAAATCTGATGCGCACCAGCTGTCTCTGAGTCTGCAGCTTCGCACTCTGAGGCTCAGCACACACGCGTGTCTTCATGTGGCGTGGGCATCACAGGCCCAGCTCCTATGGCTGGAGTGAAGGTGAGCTGGCCGGAGGACAGAGTGGGATGTGAGAGGGAACAATAAATGGTAAATAAAAAGTGAGCTTTTAAGCAAAAATGATCGTGTACTGTAGTCCACCTCCACATAAAGCCCGTGATGAGAAATGCTTATACGATTTGCCGGTAAACTCCACCCCTTTTGGTGCTGGAAGAGGATATTTTTCATTGCAATGCAAACATATCATTAATAATTGTGAAACATGGCCCCAGTTTCAAAGCTCACTTTCATCTGTCATCTCATTTAAACCTTGCTGTGACCCTGGGAAGCTGGTTTCATTATTCCCATTTTACAGATGTGGAATCTGAGACTTGGAGAGGTGGAAACCATACAGGGACACCAGACGTGCTTACCCTCACCCGTAATCTCATTGCCTTTGTTCCATGGTCCCTGGTCTATCATTCCTGAAGTGCAGACTGAGGCCTGAGCTGGACGTCCCCTCCAGGGCTACTACCATTCTCTTGCTTCCAGCCCCACTAACTGCCACCTTCTCACTATCTGGAAGAAGTTACTTTCCCATTACCCTAAGGAATTAGCCTCTTATTTCTAATTTTCAGATGCTCGGCTACCAGAATTATGTTTTGGAATAGATATGCATAACCCTGGAGCCTCTGTCTTCTCAAGCTGTGCATGGACCTCAGGACAGATCCCTGCCACAGCTCCGATAGTTTAAATAAAACTTTGATTGTATTCTTCCATCCACTGGTACATTTGCAAGCATTTATTAAATGTCAGCCCCCGGGAACCTGCAGATAACTAGAGCCAGGCCATGCCTGCTTTCTGGAAGCCACTTTCTAGTGAAGGAGCTCAGGAGGAGAGAGGCAATAGCATGTGGGTCCCTAGAATGAGAGGGACCAAATCCAT